CACTTATATGCAGAATCTAAAAAACAAATGAATGGAAGGTAACAAAACAGAAACAGACTCATGGATACAGAGAACAAACAGGTGGTTGCCAGATGGGAGGGGTTGGGGGGATGAATGAAATAGTGAGGGCAGTTAAGAGGTAAACTTCCAGTTACAAAATAAATGAGTGTTGAGGATGAAATGTATAGCACAGAGGATATAGTCAACAATATTGTAATAACTTTGAATGGCAACAGATGGTAACTATACTGATCATGGGAATCATTTTGTAATGTACAGAAATACTGAATCAGTATGTTGCACATCTGTAACTGTTTTAGATCAATTTACCTTCAATAAAACATCTAAAAATGTAGATACTTTAAATTATTTCCATGATGTATCAGATTCAGATTTATTAAATTTTAGAACAGAATTTCAATTTTATATTTGACCTTCACATATTCTACTTGGCAACTTAAAAAACATATTTTATTAATATCAGTTTTTAAGTATTCCAGGAGGCTAATGAGAAAAATCTTGTTTTTTAGTAATACAAAATGGACAAGACAAACATCTTGACTAAGTAACTCTAGACTGAGACATAAGGAGGAGAAAGGTAATACATACTTCCTGATTATCTTTCAATTTCACTAAAGTTAAATCATTTTTTATTTTAAATAAAAATATCATAAAACTAATCAGGCATCTGTCCTGAGAAAAACCAAATGTTCAAGCTGAGCTGAAGACAACAGTAGTGTTACAGAGGGTTTTTCCCCTAACTTCCAAATAAATGATTTCAAAAGGCAATTTAAAAGACTCACAGCAGTGTCACACTTGGATAATCCCATCTACAAGGTTGCATTTTTTTCTCCCTCTTCAATTATCCTTCTCACAATGAAAATGCTTCTCTGCCCCAAATATGAATTGATTTAATCAACTTGTAAGGCCACTTAAACTTCTTTATTCAAAAACATTATGTACCACATCAGTTTTTATTTATAATATGGTATACAAATAGCAAAAGCCAAGTAGCCTAATTTCTTGGAGGCATAAATTCTTTACAGATTAAGAAAAATAACATTCTAGCCTTAGTAGAAATAAAACTGATTTAATCAACTCATTTTAAAATGCTAAACTATTTAATATTCATAGATCTCTCTCTCTCTCTCTCTCTCTCTCAGATCCTCTAAAATCAATGTACTTGCAGTTTCAATGAGAGGGTTACAATGTGCAAATGAAAGTCTGAAGTTTGTATACATTGATTTTCAAAAATCTCTTTCTGAACCAAAATGCTTTATTTCTAAAGAATTCTAGAACTTCATTTTCACAACCTATTCTGACAAAAGGTCATTCAAAGACCAACTTGTTTCTTAATATTGCAATACATGACCTCTAGACCTAGAAAATTAATATTTGAAGAATGGGCCTCTGAAGAACTTCCTATACCACAGTAGTGAATAGTTTAAAAAATTCATGTCAGTTATGTGTTTAAAATTCACTACAGTATAAGAATCAGCAACCAAATCAGCATCCTGCTGTGCTATACATTCACTGGTGAGATAAAACTTAAGGTATGAAGACCAGTCTCTAGTACAAAAGTAGAAATAAAAGTACTAACATTTCTCTAGTAGTTTAGTTATTAAGATTTTATCAACAAGACTGTCTTCATCATTAAGGAAATAAATAAACTGAGCTGGTAAGTAGGAGGGGAACTTTTGTTTTTTGTTAAAAACTATTTGAGAATCAGTGTGAAACTTCTAGAACTGGGAAGGAATTCAGAGACCATCAAGTCCAATTGCTTGTTTTGGTGGGTAGAAAATGGATGTTCTGAAACGTGGCATGAAAGAGCTAATAGCAGCCACAGAAACAGAACTCAGCTCTTCTGATGCCATGCCCACTCATTTCCCACTATCTCATAGTCCTGAGGAGGTAATGTTCACAAATTTGCTACTACAGAATGGATTACCCCAACATGACACCTGATTTACAAATATGGAGGCTATAGAATCAGAAACTTACAAAATTGGTAAAGAAATAAAGATGACAGTGTTAGCCCTAACAAAAACACAGAAATATAATCAATTAGAAAACAGTGGTATCTAGCAAACTAAAGAACTGTTCATATGATTCACAGGAGGTCTGGCAAATATTTACACTTAAAAATTCAAACATTTGACTTTTTTTAAAAAGTTTCCAAAAGTATCACATTGTACTTTTAACTATATTATCTGAACCCCATAATTATTAGTCAATAAACTGTCAAGAGTAGCAGATATTACTATGAAGTCTTAATGAAAAATAAGCTAACCATACTACCATAATATGCAAAAATAAGTCCTCTAATACTTATGAGATAGGCCTATTAAACCATAGGACTTCAACCATTGCCAATTTACTGACCGGTATACCCCATGTGGCGCTAGTGGTAAAGTATCCGCCTGCCAATGCAAGAGATATAAGAGATTCCATCCCTGGGTCCAGGAGATCTCCTAGAGGAGTCATGACAACCCACGCCCAGTATTCTTGCCTGAGAATCTCCATGGACAGAGGATCCTGATGGGCTGTAGTCCATGGGGTCACAAAGAGTCGAACACGACTGAAGTGACTTAGCACACATACCCCACTACCTATAGGACAGTTCCACCTGCTTTTTCTGTAAACTCTTTATATCTTTCCTCCAAAGCAATCCATTCCTTGTCTCTGTCCCAGGTCACAGCATCAGCACTGACCTGCTGGGTCTTGTCCCACCAGCTCATCCTAACCTGGTTTTATAATGCTTGCCTCTCCCAAGTCCAAAGCAACTGCTCCAGGGCAAAAGACTTTTATGAACTCTCCCAGAGGGCTCACCCCTTAAATGTCCTCCCAGCATGGGGGATTTTCTAATTTAGTTAACCATGATAACAATATGACTACAGTTCAGTTCAGTCGCGTCCGACTCTTTGCAACCCCGTGGACTGCAGCACACCAGGCCTCCCTGTCTATCACCAACTCCTGAAGTTTACTCAAAGTCATGTCCATTGAGTTGGGATGCCATCCAACCACCTTATCTTCTGTCATCCCCTTCCCCTCCTGTCTTCAATCTTTCCCAGCATTAGAGTATTTTCCAATGAGTCAGCTCTTTGCATCAGGTGGCCATATACTGTTGCTTCAGCTTTAGCATCAGTCCTTCCAATGAGTATTCAGGGTTGATTTCCCTTAAGATTGAGTGGTTTGATCTCCTTGCTGTCCAAGGGACTCTCAGGATTCTTCTCCAGACCATAGTTTGAAGGCATCAACTCTTTGGTGCTGTCTTCTTTACAGTCCAGCTCTCACAACCGCCTGTGACCACTGAAAAGACTATAGCCTTTATGTACTAATCTTTGTCAGCACAGTAATGTTTTGGCTTTTCAGCACACTGCCTAGATTTGTCATAGCTCTCCCGCTAAGAAGCAAACATCTTCTGATTTGGCTGCAGTCATCATCCACAGTGATTTTAGAGCCCAAGAAAAGGAAATCTGTCACTACCTCCACTTTTTCCCCTTCTATTTACCATGAAGTAATGGGGCTGATGCCAAGATCTTAGTGTGTTTTTTCCCTAATGTTTAGTTTAAGCCTGCTCTTTTACTCTCCTCCTTCACCCTCATCAAGAGGCTCTTTAGTTCCTTTTCACTTCCTGCCATTAGAGTGGGACCATCTGCATATCTGAGGTTGTTGATGTTTCTCCTGCCTATCTTGATTCCAGCTTGTAACTCATCCAGTCCAGCATTTCTCATGCTGTGCTCAGTGTATGAGTTAAATAAACAAGGTGACAGCAGACAGCCCTGTCGCACTCCTTTCTCAATCCTGAGCCAATCAGTTGTTCCATACAGGATTCTAACTGTTGCTCCTGACCCGCATACAGGTTTCTCAGGGGATAGGTAAGATGGTCTAGTATTCCCATCTCTTTAAGAGCTTTCCACAGTTTGTTATGATCCACACAGTCAAAGGCTTTAACAAAGTTAATGAAACAGAGTAGACATTTTTCTGGAATTCCCTTGCTTTCTCTATGATCCAGCAAATGTTGGCAATTTGATCTCTGGTTCCCCTGCCTTTTCTAAACCCAGCCTGGACATCTGGAAGTTCTTGGTTCGCATAATGCTAAAGCCTGGCATGCAAGATTTTAAGCATGACCTTACTAGCATGAGAGATGAGTGGAACTGTCAGATGGTTAGAACATTCTTTTTTACTTTAGTACTAAAGTACTAAACATGCTTCAGTCCCATCCCTTCTTGGGAACTGGGGTAAGAACTGCCAGTCCTGTGGCCACTGCTAGGTCTTCCAGATTTGCTGACATATTCAGTGCAACACTTGATGGCATCATCCTGTAGGGTTTTGAATAGCTCTACTGGAATTCCATCGCATCCACTAGCTTTATTCACAGCAGTGCTTCCTAAGGCCCACTTGACTTCACACTCCAGAATGCCTAGCTCTGGGTAACATGAACTAGTTATTCAGTTCATTAAGATCTTTTTTGAACAGTCCTTTTTTGTACAGTCTTTCTGTGTGTTCTTTCCATCTCTTCTTGATCTCTTCAGCATCTACTAGATCTCTACCACTTCTGTCCTTTATTGTGCCCATCTTTGGGTGAAATGTTCCCTTGGTATTTCCAATTTTCCAGAAGAGATCTCGTCTTTCTCCTTCTGTTGTTTTCCTCTATTTTTATACAGTGTTCATTGAAGTAGGCCTTCTTGTCTCTCCTTGGCTTCTCTGTCTATGGAATTCTCCAGGCAAGAATATTGGAGTGGGTTGCCATTCCCTTCTCCAGGGGGTCTTCCCAATCCAGGGACTGAATCCAGGTCTCCCGGATCGCAGGCAGATTCTTTACCCTCTGAGCCATCAGGGAAGCCCCCCTATCAGACTGTCTTCCCCCAAATCCACAGTTTACCTCCAGGACAAGTTTACGACTATGGGATAGCCTCAAAACTTAATTCAGAATTTCAAAGAATTCATATCTAAAGCTAATGAAATGCAGTGTTCTAGAAATGAAAATGCATCCTTACATGGAAACGTGACACAGTTTTTCCTCCTACAGTCAGGGCTGCCATTTTTCCATTATGATTTTCCTTTGGAGTATATTTTAGGACATGACAGTCTTGTACCTAGAAAACAAACACACACACAAAAAATCAATGTGCTGGCTGGAATACATGTTAATATTACATACCAGCCACATTGAGTCCCTAGGACAGTTAGGAATTCTCTAAAGTTTCTGATCTCATCATCACTCTAAAATCAATCACAATCTAAAAAAACTATTAACCGCAGTACACAACATGCATAAAACACAAATATAAAACAAAATGGAGTATTTACAAAGAAAATATGCATATAACCACTACCCGTATCAAAAATCCCCCAAACCTCTGTGTCTCTTCCCAATCCCCACCTCACACCCATTCCTCCCTGTCCTTTTTACCCCTTGGGCAGTGGTTCTTAAAGTGTGGTCCCTAGACAAGCAGCATCAGCATTACCTGGGAACTCAGGCCCCTGCCAGAACCCACTACAACAGAACCTGTGTTTTCTGAGCCTCCCAGGTGATTCTGAGGTACAGAAAAGTTTGAGATGCACTGCCCCTCAAATAAATAATCATCCCTCTTGACACTGTGATAATAATTCATTTAACTTTTCATTATAATTACTGCCTTTGAAAGCACTGCTTAATCCTACAGTTTAGTAGTATCTGTTGAAACTTCATGTAAGTCAGACCACATAGACTTCTCCAGATTTTCCTGCTTTTGCTCAAGCTTCTATTGGTAAGGTTCACCCACACTGCTTTTTGCAGCTCCATTCTGTACATTTTCACTGCCACCCAGCACTTTATCATGTAAACACACCATGATTTCTTTATCCATTCTACCACGATGGAAACATGAGTTATTTCTATTTTCAGAGTATTAAGAGTAATCCTGCTATAACTCATCTGTTTGAGTTTTCTAGCAACACTCAGGAGTGAAACTGGAAGACCACAGGTTCACCTACCTCAACTTTCCCTAATGCTAAGCTATTTCCTGAAGTAGTTGTTCCAATTTACAATCCTACCCATCATTCCTGAAAGTTCCCAAAGTTCTGTAGAGTTCTAGAAACTATTGATGTAATTCTTTACTTGATTATTCAGTCAGTAAAAACTTATTAAGGGCTTGCAGGCCACCTATGCCTGACAGTACTGGAAGCACTTCCATGTATGGGCTCTCACTTTAATCTCCATCACTTGCCTAATCACTTGTCCAAGGCTTAACTCCAAAGATGAAGTGAGCAGTTCAAAGTGATCTGGAGAATGATGGTCTCAACTTACCAGTGATTTTTGTAATAATGATAAAGACGACAACAGCTAATGCTGGATGTACACTGAATATTGTTTTAAATTTGAAGTGCCTGACATTTATCATCTTGTGCAAGCCTCACAGTAACCCTTTGAGGGAGGTCATAGTGATTTCTCCTGAAGAATAAAATCCTATCTTTTACAGATGAGGCAGTGCTTCAAAGAACACAGCTAGGAAATGGCATAACCAAGATATGAGATATTCAGGTTCCAGGGCCTACATTCTTAACCATTAACCTTATTTCAGACAACAAAATGCTGCTTCTCCAGGTAAGTGTTACACTCTGAGGTAGTAAAGAGATGAAAATTACAACTTGGAATTGAAAGAACTGCATAAATGAAAATAAGATGGGACTGAGACTTTTCTCTGACTGAGTTAAACTAGTAGATCTGTAAGAAGTTAGGTTACACATTTTTTTTTTTAAATTTATTGCTCCAGTTATCCCAATACCAGTATCAAGAAAGCCACCACTCAGGCATGAGTAAGAACATTCACTGACATCCTCAGAAGTAAACCTCTTTCACAGAATTTATGCTCCATTCTGCCTCTTCTTCACATGTTTCAGGACACAAATATTGTCTATTGTGCAACAGGTTTGCACAAATAGATAGCACACACAACAGATTTGCTATTATCTTCTATTTCTTTCTCACCTGAAGTAATGTGACCACATGCTTCTTACCATCTTTGGTCCATAAAGGCATCATGCCTAACTTCAGTGCAATAAGGCCCACTCTAGAGGAACCTGGCAATTAAAGACAAATCAGTATTCACACAGTTTTTTCAACATTTGTCAACTTGATACTACAGGATTTCCTAAATTTTGGTTTCATATAAGAAGTAGGCAGATAACAAACATGCTGATATATCCATAGAGTAAAATACAACTGTTCCTTTCAGATATAAGTGACTTCAATTATGCCTGACATAGTATTACCCAATAAACCTCTGTAAAATGAAAAATATAAGACAACTATACAAAATAAAGAAAACAGTTAAAGTGATATATTCTAGTATTTAGAATAGTGGTAATTAATAGAGGACATGATGAATCCACCTTTATGCTTTGCTTCCCTAGTATCAATTCATATCCAACCTCATTAATCAGGAAATATCCACTACTCAAACTCTAAGAAGTTAGCTGGAGTTATAGAGAGGACATAAGTGGTTATGTGGCTAAAAAATGTTAGCATCAACCATGACACTCAGTTCGTTGTATAAATTGATGAAGTTGCCCCACTAAAGATGTCTAGTCATTAAACAATTTGACAGCCACAATAACCCCCAATCGAAGACAACACCCTCAACAGGAAAGGTCTTATGCTTTTTGGTCTGGCCACAGATGAATATAGCACTCTGTCTGGCACTAAGAGCTGATTCTGGGGTTATGCTTGGCAGGCATTGAGTGCTAGAACACCTCAAATGCAAATCTCTGAGTGATACATTTTAGTTCACCACACTCTTTCAGCTTTTCTTTTCTATTTTATTTTTTATCTGAAGAAAATAATAAAACATTTGCAGAATGATTCTCTTTTCACCTACTATGCAATTTCTTGAGGAAGTTTTGATGATCATCAGATATTCACTAACAATAGACTAGGATGCTGGAAATATACTTGCAAACCAAACCACAATGAAACACTCAGTTATCTCATGAAAAACAGAAATGACAAATTTATCCAGAAGTCACTATGACTTTAAATGTGCCAGTCAGACAGTAATCAGGCAATGAGAACACAACATACACAAAATAACCACCTGGTTCCCAAGGATGTATAGGCCATGGCTCATCTTTCAGAGGACAGAGTTTACTTGCTAATTGGGCTTTATTTTCATCAGAGACCAATTGCTTAACAAAGGAAACATTCTCTTCAGAAAGATGCTCATCCCACCAAGTACCACTCTTGCCATGGAGACTTCTAACAAAAACCCAGATGTCTGTTCTGTAAAAATAAAATTAGAGAACAAAGCACAATTCAAAAGTTTCCCCATTTAATGTACAGGAGGTTACATGAGCTGGAAAGTATAGTCAGGGCCTTAGGAAAAGGTTTGCATCCTGTTCCAGTTTTTTCACTGACATTCCTCATGAAAATAACGGGGCTCATATTTTAACTGTTAATACATATCCTGAAGGAAAAGTTCTCCCTTTCTCCTCTGGGATAAACAGATTTCCAACAGGGTAGTCCTTTGTAGACAAAAGAAGTCACAGCCCCATTTGAACATGTACCTTAACAGTTTACATCCAGTGGCGGTGACAGAATGTGGGCTTACTGATATTTTTCTGATAAACTCACCTCTTATCTGTAATGACATGGCCTAGGCTCAGAATGGTGAAAAAATGGAGTGTGCAAATTCTAAAAATCCATAAAAGACCTGAACTCTACTAGCTGAACACCCCAAGAAAGACTTTAGGGGACGGGGGTCAGCAAAGAGGTTGTATAACTCTCAAGAGGAGGGTCAGAAAAGAAGAAAGCTTTCTGAGGTCTATCTCTTTTGTAGACAGGAAGATATATCCAGGCTAGGGTCTGAATTCTGCACTTATTAGTTAAGTGACCTTGGGCAAAGCGCTTGTCTCTAGGACTCTTTCATCTGTAAAACCGAATAATGATAGGACGGAATAATCTGTAAAACGGATGCTAACAACTCTCGTGAGGCTACAAGAGCCAAGGCGCCTAATGTTTCTAACAGAACATTTATTATAGAGTAAACGCTCACTAACTGGAAGACAGAATCATCGCTGTTGGTACTGCTTGCTGCCAGTCGCTGGCTCATCAGCATTAAAAATAAAAAACCTACCCCTTCAACCCTTCAAACGGCACGTCCTTTGAGTAGTGATTCTTAACTCTTCAGGCCTGGACGGAGCCCCCTCCTACCCTGGGCCGGGCCAGGCCACAGTCCGTGACCGCGAGTGCAAGGATAATCCCCCACGCTCGTCTCTCCCCAGCACCCACCTGTTTCTCGAGCCCAGGGCAGTGCCCAGGCCACCCGTGCCGCGGTCCAGCACCCGGGCGCCGGCCCAAGCCAGCAGCCTCCAACTGGGCATGGTGAGGCCGGGAGAACGCAGCCCCTTCGCCCTCGGGCGCCCTGCCGCGCCCCAGCGACCGTGTCCCAGTCCTGAGAACCGTCCGGAGCTGTCCCGCAGCCTCTCACACTGCCTTCCCGGACGAGAAAGAACTGGCCGGACGAGAAAGAACTGCCGGAGCCTTTTCCGGTCCGCTCGCAAAGCGCGCCGGTGCCGGGATCGGCTCCGGGAACTAGAGTTCCGCCTCCGAAATAGTCCTAACTTTGGCTCTGAGTAGGGTGGGGAGGGTGGGATCTGGCTCTCCATGGGGTGGGAAAAAAAATTGAATTTAAACTTTAGGAGAATGAGGCAAACTAGGGACAGGCTTCTTAAGGAAGCGAAGTCACTTCTAAGTAGTACCCCTTGTGGGGCGGCTCATTGTACCAAGCAGTTCTTGATATTCTTATATTGGGTTATGTTCAAAACATCCCTGAACGAAGGTCGTTACTTTCATATTACAAATGAAGGAATACAGACAGTGTTGGTCCAAAACAGATGGAAGAATTGGTACTGAAATAGGACTGACATATGCTAATAGAATATGGCCAAGTTGATATGGTATGACTTCCAGGGGTGGATCATAAAATGTATTTGCTAGTGTGTCTTGGGCTCTTGGACGGCTCTCTATGAGGGAAGCCAGCAGTCTTGTCCTGCAGGCACTCAAACATCCCTGTGGAGGGGCCCATGTGAAGAGGAACCGTCTTTCCAACTAGGAATTAACCGCTTAGGAAGGGATTCCTCTGGTTCCAGGCAACATTTCCAATGAAATGAAAGACCAGTCTTTCATTTCCAGTCATGAAAGACCGAGTCTGAACCACTCAGCCATGAAACTACTGGGTTCCTGACCAGGAGAAACTCCTGGAGAGAGTAAATGATTACTAAATTGTTTTGCGCAAGCATTTATTCCTAATATACTTTCAGTACAAATAAACCTTTGTCCTGGCTTCCAGAGTCAGCCTAATCACCATGTGTGTTCTTGAGTATTCATTCTATTACTCTGTTTCCTTCTTTATCAGATGAGTGCTTGTAGAAATTCAGAAATAAAAAGACTTAAGCTATTTCAAGACCCTCTTTTATCTGAGATATGGCTATGCTGGCTTAAAAAGTCCAGGCCATGGTCAATTCCTGATAACTACTTGAACTGTTCTGTAAAGATAAAAGAAAACAGAATGGTCTCAAAATCTTTGTTTGCTCATGCTAGCCTGGCTTCCCAGTTATTTGAGAATAGCCCTTTACTGAACAAGCATGTCTTGAGGTATGCTATATGCAAGAAGCTGGGAATAAAAAGACTTGCCTACAACTGCCAATGGCTAGCATTTCTTGAGCATATAATGTGAGGTGAGTGTTGTGGAAGCCCTGGAAATCTCAGTCAGAGACTGAGCACACTTGAATTCATAAGTTTAAGTTTCATTAGCTTCCTGCAGTGAGAGACAGCATACACCTACAAATGAGTTGTAATATTTGGACTTACACTGGGTGGCATGAAGGAAACAGACTTCTTTTGAAATGGATACTATTCAGCAAAAGTTCAGCATTTGGGCATCACAGTAATTTTGTTGGAGGTAGGAAGGACAACGTGAAACTAGGGATAATGATGGTGAGGGAGCAGATCTGTTTTGAGGAAAGAACTGTTTTGTAACTGGAGTGTGGCCTTGGGTGTGGTCTGTTAGAAGTATTTTGTTGACATTCCATTATAAATTAAACACAAATCTGATTCCTAACAGAATTCATGTTCACTCTTCAGTGTATTTCCTCATTTGATCTTTATAATAACCCCATATGATAATACTATAATTACCTCCATTTTACAGTTTAGAAGATAAACACAGGAGACTACATGACTTAACTTCATTTGACTAGTTAGGGCCAAGATTTAAATCTCAGCAGTGTGATCACAGAGCCTGTGTTCCTAGCCATTCTGTTTCTTTGATTCTCTAAGACAAGTATGTTATTACCCTTGCATTGGAATTCCTATATCGCTGAGAGGAAAATTGGTAAGTAATCATATCACACATGGCAGTCTGTGAGGCCTGAGGAGGAAGCCAGTCAGTCTAACCTTTGCTTCTAGTGCCAAAACTCTCCTAGCCCATGATGGCAACTTTGAGCAAAGAAATCCTTAGCAGACAACATTGCTAAACCAAATCAAAGCAAAACATGCTCTGTCTGCTGTCACATATTTCCTGATTGATAGCTGGGTCTGGCAAGTATTAATTTCATCACTATAGTATACTGCTAATTAACAAGAACCAATCCAGTTCTTGAGGGACCTAGCCAGGGCTTCTCTAGGGCACTGATCTCCAGCTTCCCAGCATTTCTGACATCATCTTTCAGAGAGTACCATGGGCCCTTGAACCCTGATACCATTTTGCCTCTCTGGGACTTTAGTTTCTCACTGGAAAAAAAGATAACCCTGTCATCTTCTTTTAGTGCTTTGCTGTTGTTGTTCAGTCACTAAGTCATGTCTGACTCCTAGTGACTTAATGCCAGCCTCCTCTGTCCTCCACTATCTCACAGAGTTTTCTTCAAGTTTATTGAGTTGGTGATGCTATCTAACCATCTTATCCTCTGCCACCCCTTCTCCTTTTGCCTTCCATCTTTCCCAACATCAGGGTCTTTTCCAATGAGTTGGCTCTACCATTAGGTGGCCAAAGTATTGGAGCTTCAGCTTCAACATCAGTCCTTCCAGTCAATATACAGGGTTGATTTCCTTTAGGATTGACTGGTTTGATCCCCTTGTATTCTAAGGGACTCTCAGGAGTCTTCTCCAGCACTACAATTCAGAAGCATTGGTTCTTTAGTGCTTACTCTTCCTTATGGTCCAACTCCCACATCTGTACATGACTACTGGAAAAACCATAGCTTTGACTATCCCAACCTTTGTTGGCAAAGTGATGTTTCTGTTTTTTTAATACGTTTAAGTTTGTCAAGCTTTCTTTCCAAGGAACAAGCATCTTTTAATTTCATGGCTACAGTCACTGTCTGCAGTTACTTTGGAGCCCAAGAAAAGAAAATCTGTCACTGCTTCCACTTTTTCCCTTTCTATTTGCCATGAAGTGATGGGACTATATGCCATAAACTTAGTTTTTCTATTTTTTTATGTATAATTTTATTTTTTATTTTTAAATAAATTTATTCATTTTAATTGGAGGCTAATTACTTTACAATATTTTAGTAGTTTTGCCATACATTGACATGGATCAGCCACGGGTGTACATGTGTTCCCCATCCTGAAGCTCCCTCCCACCTCCCTCCCCATCTCATCCCTCTGGGTCATCCCAGTGCACCAGCCCCGAGCACCCTGTCTCATGCATCAAACCTGGACTGACGATCTGTTTCACATATGATAATATGCATGTTTCAATGCCATTCTCCCAAATCATCTCACCCTCACCCTCTCCCACAGAGTCCAAAAGACTGTTCTATACATCTGTGTCTCTTTTGCTGTCTCGCATATAGGGTTATGGTTATCTAATTTCTAGTTTTATTAATTTTGAGTTTTAAACCAGCTTTTTCACTCTCCTCTTTCACCCTCATCAAGAGGCTCTTTAGTTCCTCTTCACTTTCTGCATTAGTGTGGTATCATCTGTGTATCTGAGGTTGTTGATGTTTCTCCTGGCAATCTTGATTTCAGCTTGTGATTCATCCAGTCCAGCATTTCACATAGAAGTGAAATCATCAGCCTTGTCATATATCTTTCTCAATTTTGAACCAGTCTGTTGTCCCACGTCTGGTTCTAACCATTGTTTCTTGACCTGCATACAGTTTTCTCAGGAGACGAGTAAGGGATCTGGTACTCCCATCTCTTTAAGAACTTTCCACAGTTTGTTGTGATCCACACAGTCAAAGGCTTTAGCATAGTCAGTGAAGTAAGTGTTTTTCTGAAATTCCCTTGCTTTCTCTGTGATCCAACTGATGTTGGCAATTTGACCTTTGGTTCCTCTACTGCTTCGAAACCCAGCTTGTACATCTGGAAGTTCTTGGTTCACGTAATGCTGAAGGCTAGCTTGAAGGATTTTGAGCATAACCTTGTTAGCATGTGAATTCAGTGCAACTGTGTGATGGTTTGAACATTCTTTGGCATTACCTTTCTTTGGAGTTGGAATGAAAACTGGTATTTTCCAGTCTTGTGGCCCCTGCTGAGTTTTCCAAATTTGCTGCCATATTGGGTGCAGCACTTCCACAACATCATCTTCCAGAATTTTAAATAGCTCATCTGGAATTCTGTTACTTCCACTGGCTTTGAGTGTAGTAATAATTCCTAAGGTCCACTGGACTTCACACTCCAGGATTTTTGGCTCTAGGTGAATGAGCACACCATCATGGTCATCCAGATCATAAAGGCTTTTGGGATATACTTCTGTGTATTCTTGCCACCTCTTCTTAATCTCTTCTTCTGGTTTAGGTCTTTACCATTTCTGTCCTTTATCGAGCCCATCTTTGCATGAAGTGTTCCCTTATATCTCCAATTTTCTTGAAGAGATCTCTAGTCTTTCCCATTCTATTGTTTTCCTCTATTTCTTAGCATTGTTCATTGAAAAAGGCCTTCTTATCTCTCCTTACTATTCTCTGGAGCTCTGCATTCAGTTCAGCTATGTCTTTCCCTTTCTCTAAATCATCACAAACTTTTTGACATAGAACAATTTCTGTTACTTTTTGCATGCTTTCTGTTGGTCAGGAATTCAGAAAGGGCATAGTGAGGACAACTTTTTTCTGCTTCGTTATGTTTGGGAGCTCTGCAGAGATGATGGAAGACTAGGGGTAATGTCAGCTATGGGGCTGAAGTGTCTTGAAGGTTTCTTCACCTCACGTCTGGTGTTTGATGCTACCTGTCAGTCAGGACCTCTACTAGGCTGTTCTCTGGAACATCTGTAGGTAGTCCTGTCATGTGGCTGCTTGGGGTTCCTCATAACATGAGCATTGGATCCCAAGAACAAGCATCCCAAGAGAACCAGATGTAATCTGTGTTACCTTTTATGACCTAA